GTATGAAACCACAAAGAACTGGCTAGTTACTAAAGACGTTTGGAGGAAATGGCGAGGCTGTAGTATGCTTTGGTTTGCCACAGAGAAGAAGACCAGGACATTGCTTTGGAATGAGTCCTGTCAGCCCCATCTTCCTGATGATGGGGACACTCACTGATAACTGGCACAACATTCCTGACACAGCCTATTTCTAGTTCCTGACCCATTTCCTCAGGCTGCAAAATTAGCGGGGGGCCAGCTTATCTGGGACCTCACATCCAGAAAGTGAAAGAAGAGGCATAGAGCCAAAGCAACGGTAATAATGGGAGGCAGGGGTTAATTTAAACCTACAGTAGGGGATAGAATGCATTTTGTGGTGCTTCACGTTGATGGTTATAAAAAGGAATTTATTCCGCTGGAGAATACCACAATGGAGGAGGAGATTGCTTCTCTTAGGGAAGGGAGAAAGGCCAGCAGCTGAAGAAAAGTGCACAGCCTTCAGTTTAGATGTGCAGTGTAATGCACTGAGAATGGGGCTTATAAGAGTTAACATTGTGCTTCCATTTCATGACATCTGTTATCAGAAAACAGTGACCAACTCTTCCCATTCTTTATTTAGGAATGCCATTTTTTTCAGCATCCATTATGAATGTACTCAGAAAATAAAAGTACAGAAAAATTGGAAACCGCAGAGGACAACATGCTCAGATTTATCTCGGGACACAAAGAGATTTCTTTCACATCAGAAGTGTGATACTGTACCCTACCCTGGCAAAGGGATGTACTGTGATCCAAAAGTAACTTTTGGATTCCTTGATAACTGCTGCACTGATATTAAAATTATCACTTAAATTAGAAAAACAGACTCTCTCTTATTCATAGGAGAGATTCTGTTCATCTAATGTACCATACTGGTGATGTTTTGGGTAAAGGGATACATTAATAAGAAAGGCATTTTGTTAGGAAGTATTGAAGTTGCAACTTAATTCCTGAACCAATCTGTTAAAGGAAATAACTACCTTAACTAAAGTACATTTTCCTTTTATGCCCGCTTAATTTCTACTTTAAACTTTCCACTCATTGTACTCTAAGCTCTACCAGTGAATTTAAAGGGGGATTCACTATATGTTTAGTGCATTCAAGAATTCTTTGTTACAGTTCCCACCCTGCTGCATTATGTGAGCTCTGCCACGGAAGTCCAGCAGTCGGTTTGTTTTCTGCTATTAAAAAAAGAAACTACTTTTTTCCACTTCTTTGAAGAAGTTGAAAGGGCTACATGTTAGAGGGGGAGGTGGTGGGGAACAGATTGTGGTGTAATCCCCAAACGCAAATTGCTGTCTAGATTAGAAACCTCCCTGAAGAAAATTTATAAATGCTAAGACTGTGCTTTTTGTGTGAGGAACACTAGAGCAATAACTTAGCCACATACTGGGTTTTGCCTACTGCTTAGGGAGCCTACTAGGTGAAAGGAATTTAATGAAGGGGGGGAAAATCTTCCAGTTGGGTCCTTGTGCTGATGCCATCCAATCCTTTCAGTACCCAGTGATTTACCAGTAGAACTATTTTGATATGTAGTGCATCACTGAAGTATTCAAATATAATTCCGAGGGAATCTATTAAAGTAAAAGCCACCAAATGGGATTTACCCATTGTCAGTATTTTTACAGAGTCCAGGAAAAGCTTATTTAAAAGGGCGGGACATTTTACATTGTTTTCGCTTCACACCTCATCATTCGCAAGGAAAAACTATTCAGCAGAACTGTTAATTTGTTTTGCTACTTAAAAATAAATAAATGAGAAGCAAATGATTACCTCAAAGAATGACAGCCCTGTTACAATCAGTAATGGGCAGAAGTAAAACCCCAAATCTGCTTTTTTCCCCACAGGATACTTGTATTGTTCTAACCATCATTATTGTATCTACTTTATCACACAATTACAAACTAATCCTTAATTCCGAAACAAGCAGGAACAAAAATACAGATGCCAATGCTGAAAGCCTAGGAGAGAAACTTCAGTGCATAATCAACCAGATGATTTTTAAATCCCATTTATATCAGGTTAAAAATTCTTATACACATAAAATAGTTTTGTCACTGTTGATTTAAGGCATCTTATGTTCACTTAATCTCAATGCCTCCATATTCCACCTGTTACCAGGCCACTGTATGTAAAAAGTTGCTTTACATACAACTCAATATTACTAGATTAATGTATTTCATCTGATAAGGATGAATCCAGTGTTATGGAGGGCTAGAAAGATGCAGTATTTAATGCAAACTGAAGATGCCTCATTGTAAGTAACAAATGATGAAAGATATTACCAAGGGGATGTCTCCTGCAGATGCCTCGTTTAGACAAAGGGACTTTAAATGAACCTACAACCAAAATTAAGGTAGTCCCAATATTTATCTGGTGCTTGAGTAATACAATTTAGTTGACAATTGTTTATGGGATCCTACCTTTTGAATGTAAATTTGCTTTTTTCTAACAATGTTTGTCATGTCAAAAGGTTTTATATATAACAGTGAATTTGGAAAGTTGGTCTCTTTTCTGGGTTGCATAAGGAAATAGTTGAATTTCAGTGCTAAATTAAGTACTCAGTCAGGAACAGAGTATAGTCATCATATGGACAAATCAAAATGATGGCTACATTTACTGCCTACAGATATTTTTGTTGCACTGCATATTAAAGTGGTGAAAAAAGCTGTGAGTTAGCGAACCATTGCGGTGCCGATTTTCATTACCCATGTAAATGGATAACATCTTCTGTCAAACTTCATTGATATATTTCATTAGATGAATAGGAATATGCCCTGAAATGTAATAATTGTAGATGCTTGTGATATGGTTTAAGGTAGACTATCCTTTCCTCCAATTCCAACAGTTATTAACTTGGACTGCAATTCCCCAGACTCATGTAGCATTCTTCTAGACAATATTAATGGATCCTAATGTTTATAAGGTTTGGAAAGGAATCCTGACCAGTAGGTTTAACACTATATATACAAAGGTGTTAAGGACTTTCAGGTTAATGTATGGTACTGATCAAATCACACGTGGCATGAGCCATAAACACATTTTATTTTGGTATAACGTTGAAAAGTGCTGTCTATGTTGAAACAGAAATTCTGGAAAATGTGTGTCCCCCTATGAAGATTAAAAGTTAAAATATATGATTATCATGATAATAACCCAATTGTACATGGCAGACAAAAGAAAAGCTAATATTTCCCTTGCTTTTTGACTGATGTTTTTGTTGGGCTCCAGCTAAACAGCACTTTAAGTTGACAGTAAATTAGCAAACAATATGAAGGAAAAGGGGAGGAAGGAGGAAAATCATGCAGGGGTTAAGTTGTTTATGTAAAACAGTGATTTTCCTTTTTAAAATTAAAATGTACAAATAAGCTGGTGTCAGGGGCTAGGTGATCCTTCATTTCCACCGCATTGAGCAGGCTCACATCAGCAGCAGACAGCCGTTAATATATGCGTCTGGCTCAGTCTGGTCTACCAACTAGGAATTCATCGAATTGTTAATATAACTCCTTTTTTGTATGCATCACACATCATTTTCTCTCTCTCTCTCTCCGTTGCTAGAGGGTTTTTTTTTTAAGCTGTAGCATGAGCTGATTACCCAAAATCACATATTATATAGCATTTAGAAAATATTATCCTGCAACAGAAAAGGTAACAGACACATGAATGAATACACATTATATCTTTATCTATATCTATGTGTATATGTGTGTGTATACATTTTTGATATATAAATCATAAGAACAAAAGATCTGTTTGCTGCCAAGCAGCTAATAAAGCAAAGTAATACATGGTGCCAAAGTATAAATAAGACTGCATTCTATAGGCTGTCTGTGGGCTTGATCATGCAGTCTGGACATGGGCAAAAAGTCTCCCTGACCTCAATGGAAGTTTTGCCCAAGTAAAAGACTGGGCTATATATTTTTATGGAGGCTTTAACATGTGCCACAGTTCTTAGTTTGGCATTGTTTGAACAGGAAAAAAGGCTTAGTGTGCTCCAACTTTTTCCCCCTTTTCCAAGGGCCAGTGGTGAATAGGGCGGGTATACAATACCCACTATACTATCAGAGTTCAAGCAATTGCTGAAAGCCAATATTCTGCCCCCTTCATTGGATTCATGTTTTTGGTGTAACACTAAATAAGCCACACGTGGTTATTTTCTGGATTCATTTGATCACCACTGTCATTTACAGAAAATATTTGGAATCTTAGTGTTATTAGTTCATGACTGAGACAGGTGAAAAATGCATCATCTAATGTCTTTTTTTTTACACTTAAGGATACTTGTAAAATGAATCACAGACATGGACAAATTAGATATGAACTAATCACATTGAAGAAAATTGTGCTTATACATAAATGCACTCCAGATCTCTAATGTATACATATACATGCACTATTTATCTGATAAATGAAGCATAATCAGGATTTGTACCTTGGAAAATGTTATGCATATTTTAAATAATATAGTTATTATATATCAGCATGTCTATACCACACACAATATATTTAGATCTCACTATATAGTTTATCAGGGCAGAATACATGTTCACCTGATCAACACCTTTAATATTGTTTTTAAAACAAGTCACAGAATCTATTATGTATAATAAAGTCAATTGCTACCAAAGTGCCTCATCAGTGCATCGCCCTGGTTTGATATTTTAGTTTTGCTTACTCAGATTTAGATCTACTCTTCTCAGCTTGCATAAATAGAAACCATCATAGGTCAATACACCTTTCTTTAAAAGAATTAGTAGTACATCTAGGATGGATCAAGTGTTTCCAAGTAACTCTTGAGTATTCTGAGCATGCTAGATTGATGGCTTTATGAAGAAAACAATTTCATTGTTATTAGAAACTACTGTCATCTTTGGGATAGGTAAGACTTTTTTTTAAGTAAAGCTTTAATTGTAGTTTTAGTGACTTGACTGAAAACTATACAGAGTGTGGTTTGTTTTGAAAGAAAATAGGACAACAAAACCTTGAATTATTCTGATGTTTAATAATAATTTATTTTAACAACAGCGTTACAATGAAACACAATTCCTCCCACATATGTGGAAAAAATAAACTGGAGCCAAAATATCAGTTTCAAAATGACCAAATTGTTTAGATGCTTGCCCTAAATAAAGCATTTGTTTCAATCAGTGAAATGTGACATTAGTACACTAATAACAGGGTGCTGTACCATCTTGGGTTAGATACAAGAAATTGAAAAAAAAGTTAATCAGGACCAAACTACTTATAAAATATTAAGAAATACAGTCAAATTCTCTGTGTTCTGGTTCAGTACTTTAGGAGTGACAGACATTACAAATTAGCTGTGTCCTGGCAGATCTCATGTTGAAGTCATTGAAGTATTCAGCATATGGGGACAACACAACAGTTAGTCTGTTTTTATAAGTGAAAAGTAAAAGTGAGGGAAGAGACTAAAGTTTGAGCTTAATTCCCGGTGTCCTGTCTTCTCTGCGGAGATACAGTATGTACAAGAAAAGTATGTAGTTCTGTGGGCAAAGTGACTTCAACACAGCATTATGAATTTGAGACCAGCTTTCTCTTTTCTTTCAGAGTAAGGGGTTAATACACCAAATGAGAGAATCTTTATTGTATTATTATATAGGCTAAGAGAAATAGTAACAACTACAAAGGAATCTCTGCACTGCCTTACAGGAAAAGAGAAGCAACAATTTTCTTGCACGCTCACATTATTACCCCAAAGGCAACAGGATGAATCCATTTGCTAGGCCTCACAGATCAATATATAATCTGTAAGTTTCAAAAAGTTCATTAAATATTATAGCAATACATTTGGAAATGTGTTTTGTTTTGATTATCCACCAGAAGGATCCATAATAGCAAAATTATGGTTGAAAACAGTGCATTTATCCTTCAGTATCTGATTTTTTATGTAGATATGTCATTCATTTACATTTTAATTCTAAATGTTACACGTTATCCACTACAATATAGGTTTCCAAACATACAAATTATGTAGAATCTTGATATTGTACAATACATAGCAACAATTTTTTTTTGTAGCATAAAACTAGTGCTTAACATCTGAAATAAATATTTTCCCCCAGATAAGAAAATCTCCTTTGGTTCTGTTAATATTGCAGATAAACAATCAATAAAGTCCAAAGCTGCTGGTTCCCCTCCGCCTAGGTCCCAAGAGCCTGACTTGTGATTGTTGCTAAAAAACCTCACAAGTTAGGGTCTCAGGGACTAGGAAAAGTCCGATATGATCCAGTAGAATTCGTCTTCAAATAATCTGAATCACTTAGTCGTCAAGATTACATTCAGTAAAACTTTTGTTGCTGTTGTATAAAAACCCCCACCTTTTCAAGTAGGGATTGGAAAAGATCAAATAAGTAGGCAATATAGACACATACATTCAAAACAATAATATCAGCTGATTGATCAAGACACTTCTTAGAACAGATTCCACAACTTTGGAAAAAAGGAGCACAAATAAAATGTTTACTATTCTGACTCCTGAGTAGCCATAGTATAATCCATCAGAAGGATAAGTCTATAAGTGGGTTAAAGTCTGCTTGCAGCAGATTTGTACAGTAAATGTTTTATTCTATTTCCTCTAATGCCTTAAAGAAGGATTAAATGCTTGTTAATGGGCTTCTAATTGAAATATTTCCCCATTATACCTCTACAGTAAGGTGGGCCCTAGGATATACAGCACTTTAAACCCATCCTCAGTGCAAGGATAAGTTTCGGGCATCTATTTACTTTTTGCCTCTTCCCCATATTCAACATTTAATCCCACTACAGGCTGATAGTAACAGCTTCTTCTTTTCCAAACTCAAAACTACCTTTCACTCCTTAAACTGTAGAAATTATTGACATGCAAAGATTGTCATTATTTGAGTCAAGTCACTTGAACCACCTACAACTTTTAAACATTGTTGATAGAGTAAGAAAACTGATATTTCCCAAATCATTTTGTTCTGAAGCTGAAAACTTTGAATGGCACGACCGCAATCCTGAATTAGATTCACATTCATTCTCCTCCAATCTTTAGCCTTGCTTGCGGGACGGAAAATAACATTTCTACTTTAGGGATGGATCCACGATGTTTTTTCAGAACCCAGAGCAAAAGAATCAGTGGCCATAAAGGTCCTGGCCACTGAAGTAGAATCTGGTATAGAAAATTCAGTGCTCTTCAGGAAGCGGTTCAGCTTTAAAGGGAAAAAGAGAGGGGGGGGGGAAGAATTAGAATATATGCTAGTAGAACAGGTGAATCATCCATTTACAAGTAAGCTGTACAGAAAGCTATGCTGAAGAAAATATTTGCTAATTGCCTTACTACCCCCTTGCCCTCCCTCACTCTTCTCTCCAAATATTATCTCAGATTTTAATACATCTTGGATTACTTCAAATATTTTGGTCAGTTATATAATGCAACATTATATAGGAGTTTTTCTTTGTCATTTGGTATGCACTGTTCAAATCAGTTATGCCTTAGACACTAACTAGTTAAATGAAACAATAAAAAAAATCCAAGCATTCCCTAGATTTCATTCCATGCCTTTTTAAAAAAAAAAAACCTGAGCATGGTTTTCCAAGCAATTTTTGACCACGGCTTTCAAACCAATAATTAGAATGAAAAATCTCTCCCCTCTATAAATATGACATTAACATAATTACACCACCCCCATCACATAGACCCATCCTCCTTAGGGAATACATCTGATGCTCTGAAGATGGAAATCAGTCAGATTTTAGTTGCTCTCAAACGTACCTTTGCTTCTCACTGACTGACTCGCTTTTACCTTGCACGCACACGCACACAGCCACAGCCACACACACACACATGCGCACACACACACAGACACACACAAAAAGGCAAGGCAAAGCAGCGGATGCTGACTCAGAGCGGTTGTGTGTGGAGGGGGTGGTATCGGCTGGTATTTTCACTGCACTCATCATAAACATTAACTCACTGTCTAGCATCCACCCTCTCTCAGACCTGCTGGACTGCGGCATTTGCATGACGCTGGCATTCTAACCCTTGCAGGTCAGATGTTGGAAGGATTAAAAAAAAAGCCTCAAGGCTCTCATAAGAAATGCCTTCATTTCTTCCAAAGGGTCTCTCTTCTTATTTTTCCACCTTTCTACTTCCTCTGTTGCTGTGTCTCAGTTGTTTGACATCTTTCCGGAAGAAAATGTCTTGAGCTGCAATAAGCCAGTAGTCAGTCGGTCCTCCCCTCACCTCACACTCCTATTCCCTCCCCCTTTTTCTCCTAATCAATAAGACAGATCTCCAAATGCAGTTGTGAAAACAGGCTCTGACACACAGACTTTCATCCTCGATCCTCTGCCTCAGGAATAGCAGGCAACCCAGGCTCACACGTGATCTAGGGAGAAATAATGCCAGCAATTCTTTAACAGTCTTAGAGTTCATTCTACGCCTTCTTCAGTTTTTCCTTTGCTTGAATAAATATTGGTGCAAAGGACATAAGCTGCTGGGATCCAGAATTTTCTCCTATTTTTTGTTGAATAATGAAAATGAAAATTTCTAATTTTAATGTGAATTCAAATGATTGCTTTTTTTAAACTAGATGTACTCTCATTTGGTAGGAATTATATTATTTTAGACAAATCATTGCCAAGATCTGAATCACCAATATGGTGTTGAAATCATAAATTGCTGGATTTAAATCAATGCCTCACAAGACATTAGTCATTCTTTATTTTAGACCTCCTTATACAAAATAGCATGTGTGTGTGTGTATGAGAGAGAGAGAGAGAGAGACAGAAGCAATATATACTACTCAATATACAGAATACTGGGCATGCGAGTACCTCATAATGCATATATATTGATTTATATATTCTGTGTAGTTTATCTAGGGTTTTTTTTGTGTGTGTGTGTGTGTGTATATATATATATACTACAGTGTATAATGTATGTCTTATACATATGCTCAATACCTGTAAGTTATACACACAGTAGAAAACAAAGCTTTGTTAACTGAAATGCAGGCACATTCGTATTATAGATTATGAAAATCCATAAAGCACAGTTACGGTGTGTGTTTTTACCTTGTTCCTTTGTTTTTAAAACCAGGTACTTTCATGACATACAGCGTGATAAACTCACTAGTGTTTCCTTTTTACGTTAGCAATTATTTTACCAGACAATACCAATACACAGTGATTTGTAGTATAAAAATTATTTACAAAAGAGGGATGAGCAGCACACAATTCTCAAGCCAATTTTAAAAGCTGTCTGGTGCTATAGAAATTCTCAGCTTACCCACACAGATAGATCCCAACATGCAGTGCAACACTGCAGTACCAACTAAGGTAGCAGTTTGGCAATGTCACTGTTGCAGCAAACGTGAAGGGCATCCATTCGCAGAAAAGTTCTAGAGAAAACACTACAAACCCCCAGACTACAGAAAGCAAAAACATCATGGTAGGAAACCTAAACCCAGTTTGTACACCAACTCATGAACAATCATCATTAATAAACCAAAAGTAGACAATTTGGAAACAGTTAAGTCTGTAATCTCAGAGAGAGGCACACACCCACAGACAGAGAAAGCAAGCGAGAGAAGAACGCCAAGCATGAGACAACAAAAGCAAGACTGAAATCAGATTTGGAAAACTGAACAAAATACAGGATTACAGCATTCAGTTTAGCATTTACTGAGCTAGAAAAAAAATTAACACATTCACAGCATGGCTTAAAATACTTATTGCCATCAATAGTCTGATGGATGCCAGCTTCTTACTGCTATACGTACATTAGATTGGTCATCCCCTTTTAATCTCCATTTGCTCAGACCCATCCATTTTTTGCTGCTCCAGCATCTGTGCCCTTTATGCTTTTTTCTGTATAGTTACCCACAATGCCCTGGATAAATTAATGTCATGACCTTGCTATGGCTATCACACGTGGGAAAACCTCTACTATTTTAATAATTGAACGTTTGTGTACAGCAAACTGCCTCCTGATAGCCCAGCTTTGTGGACAGCTTCCAAAAAGAAGCCCTTGCTAGCTCTGCAAATCAAAAACAACAGATGCAGATACTAGCCACATCTTTTGTTTTCCTCCTCTGTCTGTGCCATCTCACACTCTCTGCCTCTGTCTCCTCGATGGTTAAAAACATTAACCTGCTGATATTAGAAACTTTAGAGTAAAGCCATGAGGACGAGTCAAAATTTTAAATGGCTGCACATTTTGTAAATTTATGTCCAGACGGTGAGTAGGGAAAGTATCCAGGTTCAAGTGCTGAGGCTTCACCTTTGGGACCAAGGGGCACACAGACTAAATTAAATCAATAGTCGTCTGAAACGAGATGTCGTAGTCAATCAGCTCAATTACCACTGTCATAGATCTGGGCTTAAGGTCTTTCCTGATTCCACTCTTCTAATCATTAACCCTTATATAGCCTTAAATAGGAATTTATGCTTCCTGTCACCCTGCCTTCCAGATGGACCAAAGTTGAACTTAGTTTCTTCCCCTAGGCTTTAAATGATATGGGATAAGGAGTCAGGACAGCAAAAAATATTTTAAATGTGAATATGGCAAGGTTAGAGGCATTCGTTTAAACATACCATTATGTATCTGCCATATATGATTGCTATTATGCCTCTGGGAGTGGCTGGGTGGATCAAAGAACACTGTTTAATTAACATTCAACTCAGCTGTTTCCTTGGAGATTACAAATACAACAGGACTAGTTGAATTACACTGGAGCTGGTCACCCCTTGCTATTAATCCAATATTATAGAACTCTTCCCCGCACAACCGAGTTAGGGACCATACATTCCTAGTGAAGGAACCTCTAGGATAAACTCTTTTCAGTCCATGAATAACTGTTAGAAAGTTTTTATTTCAAGATACCTTTATATGCATACTGGAGTTGCACAAAATCTCCCTTGTCTTTTTACATTTTGCATCCACAGTTTTCTCCCACATGCAACAGCAGGAAGGCAGAGCTTTCAGTCTCAGCCACGGAAGCAGAGTCTTTTAGCTCTCATTTTACGATTCACATTTCCTGCTTATAGACAAAAATTCCATCAATGTAACGAGTTTTTCTTTTTGCAAGTACTGAAAAGATCAGAAAGCTTTATATCAAAAACATCTTAGCAAAACACGTATATCTTTCTTGTTCAAGTTTTAACATGTTGGGTGGGGGGGGGGGGAGCCAAAACAAATGCTACTGTATAGCGAGTATAGACCCAGAACTCCAGATTACTTAAATCTGTTATATTCCCACCAGCACACTCAAAATAATAAAATAATCCCCATTACAGGCACAATAACATCAATCTCTGTATGCATTGCCTTTGTTTCCACCCAGAACCACATCTTTTAATTGCAGGTCTGTTTTCAGTTGGAGAAGCAGGATGTGCAGCATAAGTCCGTACAGCTCTATGAATGTTACCTGACACAATATGCTCTGTACCTCAGGGTGCTGACATAGATGAATAGAACACATTTTGGTGCTCGCTATATTTTGGGGCTGGATCGGAGGGTAGCGGTGAGTCATGAGATTGGGATAGCAGCATTCAATGGCTGTCTTGATACAAAAGGTTTAGGCAAGGAAGTCAAGGGAAGCTGTTACAGGGGAGTATACCTGAAGGAGCTTGGGTATGGCACTCTTGAGATACGTCTTGTAAATCAGATCACATTTTTTTGAAGCATGCTCAAGGAAACTTTCTGCAATATCATTATACAAGACATACTGTTATTGGGGATCAGTTGTCTGATTTAGTGATTCAACTGGTTTCATTCGTAGAAGCGGAAAAAATTGCCTATTTCCTTTTAGTAAGATTCATCCTAGAAAATGATTCAGTGCTTAGCCTTTTGAAGGGGACCCAAGGGACTTAGTCCTCAGTCAGGAATTACTTAATTTCTACCTTGATTTAGACATGCAGACAACATGGCCACTAATGTCGTGGGGGAAAAAAGAGCTCAGGTTCACATCCTTACAGGCACGGGCTCTATCGACAGTGGCACAAGACTCAGAAAGAAGCTAGCTACTGTCCTGTAGGGATAAAAGGGAATGTGATGCATTCGGCACCAAAATCAGACAGAGGAAGGGCACACAGACACACGGCTCAGCTTTACTTTGCAAATATAACATAGGCAGCATTTCAGACTGCGAGCATCATCCACAAGGGGACAGCATTCACATCCACAATGGAAAGATGCAGTCTGTATATCAAGAGCAAAATGAGAGACTGCAGCGGCCATTGTTGCAGTCACCAAAAAAAAAGAGGCTTTTGGGGAGGGGGCAGGGAAAGATGAGCAGAGAGGTTGGACATGGAGATGTTAGATGTCAAAGTACCTTCGTGTCAGAGATATCTTTTGGGGAGGGGAGATTAGACAATGATACTAAAGGTGATTTTTAATATTAACGAGATTTTTCAGTGTGTGCAATATGTATACACACACACACTGTTAAGGCAAGAGGTGGTGGACGACAACAAGAGAGAGATACTATTGCAGGGGAATTAGACTGTATCTTCCTAAAAAGGAAGGGGAAATGTAAGTGATATCAAATGTGTGATTGTGGTGTCTAGGTTTCAATTGTTATAATCTGTGTGCGCTCCAAGTGGGATATAAAAAACCAGAGTTGTTTTGTAGCAGTGCAAGTAAGTGGAGGCTTACTGTTTAGCCTCTCAGTGTATCTCTTTTACTATATTGTTCAAGTGAGTGTTTAAGAGTGAGACTGAGAGTGACCAGTATGCCATACCTTTGTATGGCTGTTCATGAAATCTCTTCTTGTTGAACAGCAAGGAGATAAAGAGTTCAGAAAAATTCCAGATGAACTGGAAATATAGTATCTATTCTGTTGCTTCCTTGATTCAAACCCCTCACATCCACCCTTACTGTTGTTTTTAGTGACAATGTTTCCCCTAACTGTCATGAGAATTCCCACTTAAACATAATGTATTTTATTTTAATTGCATAAAGTGGAGCTGTACAACCAGAAGCTGAATTTTTTTTTAAAAAAATCACAAAAATAGTAATTTACACAGAAAGAGTGACCTTCTAACTCTTTCTGTGCAAGTTTGCAAGAATTCTTCCTACTTGGGAAATACTACTTTCCCCTCTTTTTGCTGCCTTTTCAGTTTACCTGTCCTTAATTAAAATTAATATACATGACAGCACAAATTATTGCAGCCTGAATTACTTTGGAAGTATATTCATCCATATTAAATGTTGTTTGATTCTATTGATATTTTTAATTAAAAAATCTTTTCATTTTTAATTATTTGTGAAACAAAATAACCAGTCATATACACACACCCACACCCCTCTTCATTTTCAAGCAGTCCAAAAGCATGAAACATTGAGTAAATTAGTTTGTTTTGTCTATTGAAGAGCACATTATAGTCTGATTTTATTAATTATTTCATATTAATACTCCTTTAGTCTAATCTGAAGAAACAGCCTGGGAGTAAAACAAAACACAGAATGTAAATAAAACACATGATCACCGGGGCAAAAGTTTGAGTTTAAATTTTTTGATAGACTTTATTTGGAGAGACAGTCTACTAATCCTATAAGATTCAGAGACCCATATAGACTTAAAATATTAGCTAAATATATTTTCTGAAATTTCTCTTTTCTTTATTTCCTTTATTTAATATATGGATAGCTATATTTTGTATCTATTGACAAACGTTCAGGAAAGGGTTTAAAGACGTTGTTTCTTGCCAGAGATCCCACTTTCCCATGCCGAAATTTCATCCTGTAGT